TTATGAAGTCCATTTTCAGAAAAAACAATGCTCTAGGGTGGATTCTTTGTTCTGAGATCCTTGACTTCAGGTCAGGAAGAGGTCACCAAAAACCTTAGTAACAGGAAAATAAGCATAATTAGCTTGATGTTCATTTGAAAGAAAAAAAAGATACAAAAATTGTTTACTAAAAACATCATAAAGAAAAAAAAGATACAAAAATTGTTTGTTACTAAAAAACATCATAAAAATGTATTGTTTAATAAAAAACAAGTAGAGGATTATGAATTTAAATACAGGGATTATGTTACTGTTGAGTGTGTGTCATGGAAATACATGGTTCCTGTTCTGGTATTACTAACTGGTACCAGGGACATTCACTGTTAAGAGCTGCTGCTGTGAGTTATTTCTGGCTGCCATTGCACATAAAACCCATTTCCTCTTTTCTTGGTTTGGGCTGAGGGCCAGCTGTAGAACACAGAGATACTACGGTGTTCTCTCCTCTCTCCTATTCATCTCTGGTGTGTAGTGGTTCATCACAGGTATACGCTCTCTAAGGGTTTGTGTTCATTTCTCTTCCCTCTGTGTGTGGTGCGTTTCTGGCCCCTTTTTCTCCTCCTTAATGAGAGCTGAGGGAAACAGAAGGTATCTACCACCAAGTGGAGGTGACTGAAAATTCAAGCAGAAGAAGTACTTCACCTAAAGGTCACGCTGACAAGTCGTTAAAGCGTTTGCTGTGAGCCACATATTTTCTTCTTCTTTGCAGCCCATCGTAGCGGGCACGCGGGGCTCCGGAGGAAGTGAAAAGTCACAGAAAAGGATCTGAGCATCAGGTTTTACATTTACTTTGAAATGCAAATGATGAGCTTAAGATGGACTCTGTCTATTCATTACCTGCCTCCTCCTGTTTTAACAAGTTATGGTGTAACATGTATTCACCCACACGAGGACGAATTCCTTCCATCCACCCTCACTCGTCCACAACTCGCTTTGACAAAAGCCTCCGTTGTATCTGTTCCCATTTTTATTTTTACTAATGATTGTTTCAGACCTTGGCTCGTGTTGTTGGCGCTGGGTAATTTCCTGTTCCCTCTGTCATATGCAGCATCAGAGAAGCAGCAGAGTTGGTGAATGGCCATAGTCCTACATTCTTCCCTTTCTGTTTAACTGTAATGATCTTCTGCACAACACCACGGGGCACTGGTGCATTACTGAAGCAACAACATGCTATTTCCCCGGGAACATCACGCTCTGACACACAACAGACATTTGTGCTAAAAAATGCTCCTGGAGACCGTGAAAAAAAGTCCTGTATCAAGAGTTAGTGGGTTGCGAAAAATCAATGATGTCCTGAGGGAATACAGGGATGTTTCCTGTACTTGATTCGCTACCTAATGTCTGAGACACAAACTGAGGCAATTACTAAGACAGCAGCTGAGATATTACACGCCGCCTCCAACAACATGGAATGGTCCTGTAAGAAAAGGCATGAATTTGCTGAAAATCCTGTTGACTTTCTTTGTTGCATTGTGAAGTTAATACCTCTGCTGTGCTGCCTTTAGTTTTTTTTATCTCATTTGTCAAGACAAACATTAAATGTCACGTTTTAATTGAAATTCAATTTAATTGAATAAGCAAATAAAAACCTGTAAATGGTTTTATTTGATGGCCCTCTTTCAGCACACTAATAATTAATTTTGTTTATGCTTTTTAAATATTCAGTAAGTTCAGTTTCTTCAACAATCTGTTGATGAGCAAACTGCTGTGTTTGACTCCCACGTTTTGTTGAAACATCTATGGTAAAAGCAGTTGTTGCTGACAGAAGTGACAAAACCGTCAGTGTTTACCTGTAAACAAAGAGATACCAGGTAGCTGCAGTTTGAGTAATTCTGCCGAGCTAATGAGAAGAACAGAAGCCGGTTTGAGTAATTCTGCCGAGCTAATGAGGAGAACAGAAGCCGACACCGATGCTCTGCTCTTTAATGACACTCGTGCTGGTTTGCTGCTAATCAGTCCTTTAAATCCTCTCACCACTGCTGCTGAAATTGAATTTCTTAAGGCTGTGACTTTGAGGAATTGCTGCAATCAATATGTTGTAGCTGCAGAGTATTAGGAGCAGCAGTACTGGTTTGTGTGGAATATTACCAGTCAAATAAATGTGCTGATGAAACCAAATATATGAGAGAAAAAGAAAATAATCAGGAATTCTGTTTCTCCCGTGGTGGTGTGCCGCCGTTCTGTGGCACTGAGTCAACATTGTGATTTGAATTATTTTATTTAAAAGTGATTAAAAAAAGGAACTAGTTTCTTAAATGAAGTCCAAACTAAATATGTGCAAGCTGGGACAGAGTCGTTTATTTTATTTTTTAGTTTAATCAAATTAAGGTTGAACTGAAAAGAACTTGCAGTATTTATTTGGTGACTGTATCCAGTATTATTGTGTACTATAGTAGTGAATTATCTTAGTATTGTATTCCAAATCTTTGAGCTAACTTTTAACTATCAGCCAAAGGTTTCTCTGGTCGTACAAACAGTGATCAATGTACAGCCGCTGTGATAAATACACTCTTCTTTCACCCCATTAATTGTGAGTAATCACTGAGAACTGACCTTGGAAGAGTAGATTTATACTGTGGGACGTTGAGAGATGACGATGATTAGAGAAGGTTCTGCCTGTATGCTCAGTGATTCTGCACGTACAGTGACAGCCTGACTGGAGCGTTTGATTTAACGGCCTGTGTCAAGACCTAAAAATAATTTAATGTTAGTTCTAGTCTGTAAGTACTAAGATGCTACTGTACAATATGAGGAAACCAGCCAATCCTTTCAGCCTGTCAGGATGTTAGCCATCGCAGTGCTCCAATCGCATTGGCAAATCTAATAATAGTGTAGTCCATAGTGTAGTCTCACTCTGGCAGCTTTTGGTCTTTAATGTGCATAGTGTAGTCTCACAGGAGGCCCATCGGAAGGCTTTAATTAAATCCAAAATCAGTCTCTGAGTGAATGATTAATGGGAAGAAAGTTGTTTTGGTACCTGAACGCCTCAGCCATTTGTCTTCTCCTGACCTCTGTCAGGTTACTGTTACTTTCTGACCCACGGTGCAAAAATGTTTTTTTGGCTGAGAGAAGAGAAGAGAAGTTCTCTGACTGTGGGAAAAATAAAAAAAGAGGAGATTTGGTTTAAAAAAAAAAGAAGAAGCAAAGAGCCACATGTTAAAGTAATGAGTTGTGTTTGTATGTAGATATAATGAAGTGTGTCAGCAGTTTACTGACCAGAGCCTTTATCTGTTGATGAGTCAGCAACATGAGCTGGAGGCTGAGCTGGAGACAGCAGAATGACAACTGTAACGTGACACCGATTCCTGGAAGCAGATTAGGAAGTAAGAGCAAGACGAGCCAGAGGAGAGAAGACGAGAGCCAGAAGAGAAGGATGGAGGGTGTGATGTGTTTGACTGTTAGGAAGCTACAGCCAGGATTTTATATTATGTCCTGAATGTTTGCTGCATGAACACATTCAGTGAGTTACATTGAAACATTAGAAAATGAACCATCATTTGGAATGAAGTTAGATTTTTTTTTTCTTTAAGCATCAAATGTTTTGAAGTCACACTGATTTTTACTTTGGAATGAAAATGAGATCTGTAGAAATTACAGCTGTCCTACTTCGTCTGCCATGAACATTCTGCAGAATGTCAGTTTTACTAAAGTATGATTGCATTAAACTAGAATTAAATGAATAAATATGAATTGGCCACCGAAATGAGTTTGAATGATAAAAATAACAAGATTTTTTTTCTACAGACCCTCTGTTTTATAATCTTATGGTTTTTAAATTTTAATTTAGCTGGATCAAAGCTTGTGTGAATTTTTAATGATTTCTTTAGAAATTTGATTTTAAATTGTTTATTTTTGCAGGATAGAAAAAAATGATCAACTTTCTGATAGTGAAACAACAAGGAGTTAATGAACATGAGATGGGAGTTGATGAACATGAATGGAAGGTTCTACTGATTTTAAATTGTTTATTTTTGCAGGATAGAAAAAAATGATCAACTTTCTGATAGTGAAACAACTTGTCAAAGACACACGAGAGATGGGAGTTGATGAACATGAATGGAAATCTTTGAAAATTATAACAGGTTCTAACATCGTCTTGGAACTTTTCTGACCTAGTTGACTCTGCGGTTATTTCTTTTGTCATAACAGCTTGTCGTACTTCTCCACCAGGACGCTACGTTCATTTGCTTTCCAACAACAAAGAAACTTAGGTATTGATCCTACAAATGTATGTAAACATCGATAACCGACTAAATAAGACCAGCACGGCACACAGCAGAGCTAATACCTGGCTGTTGTTTATGCCGAGGTCAAACAGAATTTGCAGAACTTGCTGCGACCATCAACAAACCCTCAGCAAGATCCAGAGGTCAGCGCAGCACCAGACAGACCCCGCAGCTATCACATAATACACAGGTTCTGGCATCGATTTCTCCGTGTAAGCACAACGTGTAGCCAAACTCATTAGGTGCTGCGTAATATACCGACATTTTTCTTTAATAAAAATCCAATTTAGCAGAACACACTGAGGAAATGATGTTGTCTCTGCTCTGCATCCTTCAAGAGCATCCTGCTCTAATTATCCTTGTGCTCGTTCACGGTTCACGGTACAGTGTGTCGCAGTTTGAACCTCAGATTATCACACACTTGACCAGTTACTGTGTGTGTGTGTGTGTGTTTGGCAGAAGTCTCCGCCTGTGGCCTGATTGGCAGCAGAATTCTGATGTTCTGTCGTCATCTTTGTCCTGATTTCAGTCTCACTCTGACACAGTGGCAACACAACTGCCCCCCCCTCGTTTTTTTTCATCTTCCTCTCTCATTCTCTGACTCAGTGCAAACATTTCCTGCCTCATTTCTTGAATTCCTTCTCTGACACTTTTTCTGACTGACAGACCTGCCATTTATAAACCTGAACTGGTCACAGAGGGTTTTGCTCAATGCATTTCTTGTTCTTTCCTTTTCAGGGCAGTTGGAGATCGCTCCACCTACTGCAGCACAGCTGAGATATGGTAAGAAAAGTCTGACACTTTTTTTTTTCTGTGATAATTTATTTATTTATTTTTCTCTGAGTAGGAAAAACATCTCATTTCTAAAGCTCTTCTTGCATTTATTATAAACCTCCCAAATAAAAGAAAGACAGAAAGTATTCGTTAACAGAAATCCATGTAATTTTTACATTTCACTCACTTCATCAACAACAACATGCTGATTGAGTGCATTAGTGTGCAAAAGAATTCTTTCCATGGTTCTTCGTCATTTCAACAATTTACACCATTCACCTGTTCACACACGTCCATTGACCTGCAGCACCGACCCTCCCTGCCCCACCCTCATGGAGCTTTTGTGGTTAAGTGTTTCACTGAGAGACACATCCATTTGGAATAGTGGAGCCTGGAATCAAACTCACACACACACACACACACACCGGTGAACGTAGACACATTTAGGTACTATGAACTCAACATGACCTCAGACCTTGAAGATTTTCCGAGCTCGTCCTCCTCCTGCTGTCTCTGCGGAGAGGCTGGAAACTGTGCATTGTCATCGTTCCTCACTGTACAGAACACACTGTAGAGCTGAGATCTTCTGCTTAATCTTAAAATCTGCTCAAAACCACAGCTCTTCATCTTGTAGCGGCCGTTTTTTCATCTGTAAAGAAAAACACGCCCTGGTGACTCTCAGACCGACCGTTACCACAGCAACAGAGTTAAACACAAAACACATGAGTTTCCATAACTCAGCAAATATTTGTATGAGTGTATCTTTGCTTTGTATCTTGCTGTAGTCATGATAGTATGGTGGAGTAAAAAAAATCATAGTTTTCCATCTGGTGTAATGTGTGGAAGACTGAAGTTAGCAGCCAGTTAAATGGTTGAAGTTGAAATTCCCTTTTCTCTTCTGAGAAGAAACAATAAGGAGCGTAGAAAAATGTGCCACTGTATCACTGGTATGATAACCCTCCCTACAACCTTACCATTAGTCTGTTCTCTTTTTAATTACCTCCAAATAAATATAGCCCTCAGGCATTTACATTTTTAATTGAGTAAAAATGTCTGGAATGGCTTTGTCTGTTGACAAGAAATAATTGTATGTTAAAAGCTCTACAGATGGTCCTTGACAGGGGCCTCGAACACCCGACACTGGGACCACTCCTGGCCCATGAACCCCCCTCATCTTGCCATTCATTGAATAGATCTCATGTAGTGTGTGTGTGTGTGTCCTCATTCTCTAATTCAGTATATTGCATGTAATTTGAACAAATAATATTTAATTCACAAGTCTTTGTGCCCAGAGAGTTTTACTCCAGCATTTATTCAGATTTACCAATGGTTGTGGTGTTAAGAGTGGAAGTCACTGAGGCCCAAAACAGCTCTGATGCAAATGTTCATAAAGTAATGAAGGAACTGGATGAAAAACCGCAGCCGCTGCAGAGAAGAAATTAAGTCTTCATCAGTGATGGTGTTTAAAAAAATAAGAATGTAAATCAGTTCCATGAACTACACTTGAACTACAGCAGAATAGTTTCCTGAGGCTGTGGGCGACCTTTCACAGCATCAGCACAATATCACACTCTACAACCGTGTATTGACCACACATACATCATGTGGTGCATATATAAATGTATCATCTGGCATATTTACATTCTGATAGCTGTGTGTGTGATTTATATTCATGGTGTGCTACACAATGGATGTATTGGATAGTGTTGTTGTCTTACAACAAGAACATCACCGGGTGGGTTGCAGGTTTGATTCCCAGCGTTAGCATATTCTCTTTGTGTGTGTGGCAAAAAATGCAGGATGAGGTTAACTGTTTGGTTATTAGGTTACCAGTTAACTCTGACCATAGATTTGAATGTGAGCCTGAATAGTAGTCTCTAAATGTGGTCCTGTTACGTCATCGTGAACTGTCCTGGGTTCACTGTGCCCTCAGCTGTGGACTGCAGGGATTGGTTGCGCCCTCTCTTCCCCACTCACGATGTTCAATATTAATAATTAATGGAACTGTTTACAAAAACAGAAGGATTTAATCCGGTTGTTTTCATTTTCAAGCATTGAATAAATATTCAGTTCCCAAGCTTTGTTTTTGGTTTGTTTTGTTTGCTGACACATTTAAACACCAGCAGAGACTGTGAAACAAAAATATGGCACAACATTGAACCCAATTGGTTTAAAAATGCAAAGCTTTCAATATTTTTAAAGCTGTAAAATATTAGTCATCACAGTTTCCCTAGTTTGCACTCATACTCACCTACATATATTTGTATATATATATATATGTATGTATTTTATACATATATTATGTATACATATGTGCATGTATGTACATATATTTTGTATATAGGTTTATCCATATACTTGTACATATAAATATATGATGATGATTGGCTCTAGTTCTAGAGGCTTACTAATCATATTGTGTCATAATAAACATGGCCACCTCATGTTCACTTCAAGCTCACATTATATTCTATTATATTCATCCCGAATGACCAGTGATAATGATGTATAATGATGATTATGTGTTTCCTGCCACTTCACACTTCATACATATTATTGTTTGTGTTTTGTGGGCTGAAATAATGCTCCATCATCCTCTCTGCTCATTATGGTACATTTCTCCTCCTGAGAGCTTATTATTATTATGTGTTTTTTTTTAATTATTTATGAATGCAGACACAGCCTGTATACTCTCTTTTATCTTTATTTAATGTTCAGGGGTTAATATCTGTGTGTCTCTGTGCTAAATCTTACAGTTTTACTGCACAACGCCCTCCCTTTCGTGGGATTTGGATTCCTGGACAACTGCATCATGATCGTAGCTGTGAGTATCACCGTGCTGTGGTTCCCTGCAGCTCAGGGAGGTCGATGCTGAGAGCTGCACACACTTAAATGTTTTACTGGTGCAAAATGGAAGTGTCAGGGAGAAGTCAGGAAATAAATGATGATTTGTTTAAAACTATGGGGGTTTTATTCTTTTTTTATAAAGCAGGATTATAAAATGTAATACTTCCTTTATTGTTGGGTTTTAAAAAAATATATATATTTTTTTGCTACAAAAAAAACTTCCAAGATTATTGTACTTCCTATTCTTTTGACTGGTGTTTCTGTAATTTATTAGGCAATCATGGATATTCATAATAGAAGTTAAATAAAGTTAAAAGTTTGCAATCCCTAAAGAAACTTTAAAGGTCAGAGTGAGTTCAGTTTTTTCTCTTCTTTCATCATCTACTTTATAATTGCAGTGCAAACTGGGAGAAAGAAAAAAACACCCTGAAGATCTCAGTTTTCTTTACTGTATGGTTTTAAGATGAGGGTTTTTAATTAAAAGCCTTACCTTAGAGTCAACTCATTTTTCCCTGTTTTAAATCCAAGGTAGAGAAACATGAGGAGATTTGTGCTTTGGTGACTGAAGTATCACCATCTGCTCTGGTCGTAATAAATGAAATCAAGGCAGGCTGAGCAGAAGGTGGCAGAGTTGAAGATGCCGACAGTTTTAATTTGTGTTGACCAGGGTGGATTTCTCTAGAATGAAAAGATCATAGTGGAGCGGCATGAAAAGGTGGAGGCAAAGTTGAGTTTGGAAAAGCTGAGCGAGATAGAGAGCCAAGTGAATGTTGGAAACTGAGCTGCTGGACGGAAATAGATGTAAGGTCAGAAAGATTTACAGATGTAGTGAAAGAGGAAACAAAATAGTTTGAGTGGCAGGAGAGGAGACTGTGTGTGGAATCCTCATCATGAACAGTCCAGGTCAGGGTGTGTCACATATTAGATTTATGCTAAAGTCTTTCTCTGTGTGTTTTTGTTTTTGTTCCCAGGGCACACAGATTGAACTGTCCATCGGTGTCATCTTCGGCATTTCAACTATGGCAGGTGAGAAAAACAAACCATGAGACATAAAATCCATACAGGGATATAAGAAACCTTTATTGTCATTATGTTTGTGACTCATGGCTTTTAAAGCAAGACACACAAAAAACAACTTTAAAGTAATGCAAAAAGGACTAAAACAAACTAATCTTAATGACTATAAAAACAATTACACTTACAGCATGAAGCTTAACCTTCATACTTGGGGGCATGACATCACAGTAGTGTTAGATCTAGAAACACTCTGTCTTCCTAATGAGAGAGCTGTGTGCCAAATGATAATGGAGCTCCCGTGTTGGCGTCCACATCAGACGCAGCCTCGTAACGTAAGGGCTCTGATGGTGGACCAGCACTTGGACCACTGCTGGAGCTCCCGTGTTGGCGTCCACATCAGCCTCGTAACGTAAAAGCTCTGATGGTGGACCAACACTTGGACCACTGCCGTGACACTTAACCACAGCAGCATGAGAAGAGCATGAGAGGGAGCGAGGCTCTGACCTTGATAATGATAATGTTGTGAATATGATATGGAATGATGACAGTGTTCAGCTGCAGTGGGGGTGGCTGAGGATCTGCCTAATTTAAAGAGATTCATTTGCATTTTAATGCCGTCAAATGTTCACAATGTTTCTGTTGAAGACTCAGAGTGAAATGAATGACCACAAATGAGGAAGAGTTTGATACATGACAACAAATAAAGTCGGTTTATCTGCACAGTCGAGACCGATGATGTGCTACAGGCTTAGGTTGAGTTCAGTTGTTTTTACTGTCGCACTGAGGCCTAAAACTGAACTGCATCTTAACATTTGTTAGATATTTAATAATTGTTGTGTTTAATATTTGATTGGTAATGTGGTCATTCACAGCTTGGGGAAACTTTGTGCATGATGTAGTGTTAGGTCTCTGTATTTATCATCTTAATGGTGTTAAACTGAACCACCTATTAGTGAGGCTACACAGTATAAGGTCCCCATGTGTCCTGGAACATCTGAAAAAATAATGACTTTAATTTCCCAGTGTTGCTTTCAAATTTTAGAGAAAACTGGATGCAACCAGAAAGTGAGAGCAGCTGCTCTAACTAATCTCCTAAATACTTCTAAAGTATATTTTGATTTGCTGGTACTATTTAATACACTTTTCCTTAAATTTCACCAGCAAAAAAATGCAGGTGTTGTCATTTGTCCTTCCTACTCTGCCGGCATGTCAGGAATTGATTTTAAGAAACAAGTGGTAACCGTTTATAGAATCAGTCCCACAATTGGCCCCTGGAGGCAGAAGCTGACATTTCTAACAAACACAGCATTAGAGAACAAATCAGGTGTGACTTGTGGAAAGAAAGTTTTCAGTTCGAGGTTCTTCAAGTGTGTCTGTGTCTTAGCCTGCTTCAGATTCAAATTTATTTTTAGTAAAAGATTTAGCAAGAAATTGTGATTAATCTGAGAAGTAATTCCATGGCTTTGGAGGATGTAGAGAAGTTTTTAATTTTGAAATCCTAAGATTCGAGCAATTTGAATAGAAAAGAATTTTCAAATATACATAAAATATAAAATAATAAATGATAAATAATAATGACAAAATAGAGGAAAAAATAAATACGTAGTAATGTATACGTAGTCAAAATATACATAAAAATAGAGGAAAAAATAAATACGTAGTCAAAATATACATGGATAGTTGTATCACATGTGCTGTATACATACAAACATTCATCATACACATAATTTACACTGAAAATGAACACAATGATGGCAAATTGTGTTTCACCCTCACTGTCTGGGTGTCTCATCTTCCAGACGGCCAGGATTAGAGGAGAGTTGTTGAGTAAAAACTCAGAAATTATAAAGTGCAACCTCAGAAAAGCTTCTGTTGGTTTGACATGCAGATGTTGTTGCAGATCTTGGTTAATCCTGGTGTTGCCCACTGAGGGTTGCTGCAGAAATCCCCTCCTAAATGAGTGATTTCGATCTAAGACCACCCTGCAGCCCACACGGACGTAAAATAGAAGTTAGTGATCCTTCCCAGAGCTCGGCCACAGTTTGTCACTCACAATCCATTTTCACAGCAGTCGTACTGCCACTTGTGTTCTGTTACCACAGGCACATTGGAGTCTGAAAATCTGGAATCTTCCGTTATCTCAGCCAGACCGCTGTGATTGAACACCAGTGTCAAGTCTGTCCTCGTGTCCTCCAATCACACACTTTCGCTCTCAGTCAAATGTGTCACATTTAGCACATCTAGAGAGTTGAAATCTGCTGCATCAGAAAATGTTATCGTTTTAAGGAAGTCAACGAGTCGAGGGGGGGGAAGCTTAAAGGATTAAAGGCATTAAAAGTTACAGCTCAAGTCAAGCTTAAACAGAAAACTGCGGAAAGGAGGAAGTGGCCCTGGTGCAACAACAACTTCTATAAAAACGTATATCCTCATTTAATTAGCTGAGTTTTTGTGTCTGAGGTTACGTTTTACATCTTCAAACAGAGCAAGGTATTTGAATATAGCTGAGGATGAGATGAGAACTGGGGGCAGATGTCGATGGAAGAGCTGTGCAGACGATGTACTGTAGCGAGCTGATAATGATTAGTCTGTATGTATGTATAAATCAGTGGTCATGCAGTTCCCCACTGTTGTACAGATAAATAGATCTGTAAACACTGTAGACAAAAACAGAAACTCAAAAACAAAGGTTTCATTTTGTTTCTTTTTTTTTTTCTTTTTGTTTTGTGTGACGGTCCATTAATTCACCATCAGACTTCAGTGATAGATACACAGAACCTCAGAATGACTGAGTGTCAGTAGAAATATGGGCCTGAAAATAAAAATGTGGAGGAAATACTTGTATGACCGTCCTTGGTCGCAAAAGTTAATGTTAATTCAATTATTCAATTAATTCAATTCAATTATAGTTTTAACGTTGTTTCTTTCTGTCTGGAGCCTTTTGGTTTCCCATTTGCTCTCTTGATGGTGATACAGACTGATGGAATGATGGATGGATCTGGTAAATGCTTTTACATCGTATGCTTTTGTGTTAATCCACGTCTCCACTCAGCAGCCAGTGGCTGTGAAGTGGATCTGACACTGAGCTCAGTGAGGAACAGAGAGAGCAGTAGGTAGAAGACTGATTACAGCCAACATGGTCTGTAATGGTCTGGAACGCCTCATAGCATTTACAAAAACTCTGCCTCTGGGAACTGTTATGTTGAAATATCTCTGAAGCTAAAGTACTGCGTTAAAAACAGTATAAATAATAAATATTTGGTTATCAGTCAAATCATTTTCTTTCCTTTTTTTTGTTTCTTGTTTTCTTGAGTTACTTATTAAGTTAAGAACATTTACAAAATATATTATTATTAATATTGATATATATATATTATTTTCGGTGAAGCTTTCGTTCTCAACCATATTAATTGGAGACTTTAAACAAGGACGGGGTCGTAGGTCAGATGTGGGGACTGTGTCAGAACAACATCACACCACTAATTACCTTCATTAGGTAGTGACTGGTATCTGTGTTCCTTTGTGCTGGTTAACGTGGATTTGTGACTCCAGACGGTGAGCTCATAGATTGCTAACACAGCCCCTAGTGGTTTGTTGTTTGGAGTCAATACTTGAACTCTGTCGGCTGCTACAGTAGCTCAGTGGTCAGATCCAGGCTCTAATGACTTGTAACCTGTCAGAATTAGACAATGGTTGTTTCCTATTTCAACTCCACTGAGGGTTTCTCCTCACCCTGCTGCTGCTGCTGCTGCAGTAGTCTGGGTCAGGAACAAATTGAAGGGACTGCAGAGGAAGATTCCCTCTAGGGTTTTCTCTTAACTCTGCACAAGTTTGGTTAAAGGGACCAGAACTTCCTGCTACGTCTGTATTTATTCCATCTATCATGAGTGGCTTCGCTCTACTCTCCCTCCATCTTGTCCTCAGGTACTGTGTGAAATGATCTGCTGTGACTGTGACTATGGTTTTAACAATTTCCCAATGGGCTAAATATGCTAAATGGTGGAAAACACTAATTTCTCACGCCTTGTTTGTTCCGTTGAGTCATATGTTTGGCTAACAATGTGACACTTAAACTAGACGGAATTTAACACTGATTTAAACCATAGTCTTATGGCACAGAGGGAGTTGTGAGAAAAATATGTAAGAAATTCCTGTGAGGAATCTCAGCTTGAAGACACCTCTGTGTGAAGTCTACACATTCACTCGGCACTTGTGTGGATTTTTAATGTGCTGTTTTGAATTCATCGTAGGTCTTTAAAGTAAATTAAAGGTGTGATTGTGTTTTTGTGTTAAAATTTATGGGAAAAAAAAGGTAATAAATTTAACTCATGAATCACAGATTCAAACTAAATAAAGCCTGGAATACACGGTTGGATAAATGACGACGTGTAATTGCCGTACATGTATTGGATCTCAGCCACGGTAAAGGCTGTAACAACTGTCATCAAATACAAATGCTCTGCCGTGGCACGACAGGCTGCAATAAATTATGTTAAGCAGTCTGGGTCTTCCAAAGGACAAAACGGCACAGATCCAGACCGAGGACCATCAGTCACTCCTTTCACTGACCCGGCTCTAAAGTACAGGTGGTGAAGAGTCCTAGCAGAGGGAGGACGTGTGCACATCGCCGTGATTCAAACCATAATTAATGTGACGTCTGGCTGCAGGTCCTGGACAACATCTTACTCTCAGTGACAGTTGCATGTATTAATAATGACCTTGTGTCACTACAGCCTGGAAGGACACTGTGTTTTAGCTTCACTACGTCATCACTGTGGTCTTGGCCCGACACTCATTCCTGTTGATGTCGATGTGTTTATACAGCAGATCAGCTCCACCTACGATGACAGCTAAAGATACTGAACTTAATCTGTTTATTTATTTGGTTAATATCACTGCCTTTCAGCAGCTGCGTCCTATGTTTGTTATCACCTGAAATTAATGACCTGCTGTCGTTACATCTCCAGATTCAATATGTTGATGTTAATTACATCTGTCCAGTCACTTGATCCCTCTCCTGTGTCTCTGTCAATATTACCACAGGCGGTTAAACAATGATAATCAGATTCATTATCCCACTTTGTGTCAGCAGTGCACTCCACATGTGTTGATAACAAAAGGAGAAATGAAGCCCGACACATATCTGCCAGGGAAATAGCTCCAGATGTGAAGGACGGAGGATGAAATGTGTGACATGTTCCACCTCCAGTGGCTGCTGCCTGTCAGCTGTTCTTGACATAAACCTACATTTCTTTCCTACTTCCACTCATTTTTTGTCATGTCTTTTTTTTCCTCCCTATTTCACATTTTCCACAGCTGCTGCCCTGGGCAACCTCGTGTCTGATCTCGCAGGACTGGGGTAAGAATATTGCATCTTCACGCGCACACACACACACACGCACGCACGCACTGTTTTTTTTTTTATTTTTTTGTGTTTCTATATATATATACACGATATAAAAAGTGTATTGTTTTATATTACTAATACAAATAAAATCCTCATTTTACTCATTAGCCAATTATTCTATAACGTTTGCATTTATGCATTTAGCAGACATTATCCAAAGCGATTTACAGAAAAGGATTAACATTATCAGGAATGTGGTTCCTCTGGGAATCGAACACTGGCTTCATAACCTTATTTTGGGTACATTTGTTAGTTGCTAATAGTAGTAGCGGTAGCATTCATGAGGATTAGAGATGGAAGTACTGGTAGTAGTAGTAGTAGTAATAGGAGCGGTACGAGTAGTAGGAGGAGTATTACTCGGTGGAATAGTAGTAGTAGTGGTAGTAGTATTAGGAGGAGAAGTAGTGGTAGT